CCCTTTCCAAAGTGTCAGCTTCAAGTAACATTCAGCTGTCCCTGCTGGGTTGGGCACTCAGTTGTCAGGAAATTTGTACGTGGTAGAAAACAACAGTGAAACTTTGGACAAAACTATGATCTTGAAAAAAATTTTAGGAATCGCTTTCATTCACAGTACTTTAGCATTCATAATTCTCTCTCTCTCTCTAAATTCCGTAATTTTGGGGGGAAAGGCAAAAGTCTTAAAAAAAACATAGGAGCAGATTTAGGACAGCACCAACACTACCAGTACATGATACCTGAGGATCTGGCCTGTACTATATAGTGATTATTTGTTTTTTTTCCTCCTCCTTCTTAACTTCACTGGATTTAATAACTTATTCTGATGTGAACGTTCCTATGAGAAAATGTTTATAAAATAGATACAAATAGATCTATATTCCTAGCCATTGAGTAAAGTTAGTCTCTCTCTCTCCCCTGAGCCAAACTAGACTAAAATAAACTTACTTTAAAAGATGCATGCATCTTTCCAGAATAAAAACTTCTCAGACCTCTCTAGTTAATCTGAAGGATCAAATTAACAGTACAAAAAAAAAAAAAAAAGAGTTATCACTGAACTATATTTACGATGACATTTCAGGCTGCTGTTCATCTTCGGAAAATATTGTTATTTATGACTAATAACAGATAGCACATTCCCATAAGGATCTCTATTTAATTCATGCCTTTCTCTGGAGGAGGAAGATCTGACTGCATATATTTATTCTCTAGGATTAGCTAGAATTAATAACCGGGTTAATAAAGTTAATCCTTCTTAGGAGTTTCTCACTGAGGACATTCAGTTGCCAAAGTCATACTAAAGATATCTATACAAAAACTCCTGCAACGTTCACAGAAACACCAGTACACCTAAAATATTTAATGAATACTAATAATAATGACTAGTAACAGTGCTGACAAAACAATATATTGTACCAATTTCAATAACAAAGAATTCTAGGATCTGTAGTCTAGTTATGGTGTATTATTTACAAAGCATAGAAAGGCAAGTTGCTTTCTCTGCAATTTTCTGTCAACAAGTAAACTAGAAAACTAGCTAAACATTCAGAAACAGCTAAAACAGTCAAAAATAATAGAAGATTATTTATTATATAAAGTAATACCTGTAATAACTGGTGGAGAAACTGTTATAATTCATAAAAAGTTGTGAAGATGGTTTATTTTTTAAAATATTCATTTTAAATTATTCTGTATTGGCAGATCACTAACTTAACGTGAAATGATCTTAAATTTAGCAGAGCAGATTTTTTGCTCAATTTAAGATAATACAATAATGTCAATACATATTGAGGGCACAAATATACCTGGGTCCAGAATAAAAAGCTGCATAAGGTACTATATTAGCTATTATATATTAAGGGTAAAAGGAATTTGTTCTACAACAAATAATGTACATGTTTATGAACTTATTCAACATATTTCTCTGAATGTTCATGAATGCAAGATAAGCAAGGGCCTAACACTGAAACATTCAAGTTTTCTAACTATAATAAACTTATTACAGTTGGTTTTCACACAGGCACTTTGCAGTTGTAACAATGCAGAAAATGTTTATTTAAATATAAAAAAGCTACACTTTTTAGTATCTCCGTGTAGCTCAACAGCTTTTTACCTCTAATAACAATAAATTAGAATTGTCTCCATTTTTCCCAAATGGAACACAGTGTTTATGGGAAGGTTACATTGTTCACTTAAATCTGCAGGGCAACACAAACCCAAAATCTTATGCATGCTTCCATGCCACAATAATTACTTTAACTCTGACAAATTCATTTAAAATGTATTTTTTTTAATACATAAAATCCTTTTCTTTCAAACAATGCTGCAAAGCAGGAAAGAAGAGGTAACTGACACACAAGCATATGACAGCAGGTTATTAGCAGTATCACCACTGCTGCTGTGTTCTGACACTATAGGTAGTTTCCTAGACGAAGTGTTCATATTCACAAGAAATGAAATTACATACATATGTAGACTTGCGATGAGCGTGTAGGGTTGACTATAAGTAGAGCTGCCTTCCATTTCTTGTTCTACCAGGTACATTGTGTTTTCTTTTTAGAGATCATTGACGTAGAAATAAGCTGGAGGAGAAAAGCTCAAAAGAAACATACAGGCCAGATTTTCTCCCTTCTGCTCTCCTGGTCTTACAGCTGGTTTAGTGACCTAAAGTCCCACTTCAGTTCAAGGGCGATCCCTTTAGAGGTTTAGCACTTTGTGGGTTTCTATGTTACTCTCCAGCATTTCCGCTGTTGTATCAAAAAACAATTCCGGAAAGGAAGGCACAGCAGGGACGTTCACGAGATTAAGGGAGCTTCTGGGTTTGACCCTTTCAGGCTGTTCACGGTTTGATACCCACAGTAGCACCTCAAGGCTGCTTAAAAGTGAGCAAGAGAAGGAAAAAGCCAGCCTGGAGCCACAAGGAGGAAATGCAAAAGTAAGCTGTTCCCCATGACGCTCAAACAAGAATGGAACAAGGAACAAACTCCCGTGACTCAGTCTCCCCACCTCTCACACAGGACTATCCCAAATCTCAGCTTCGACCATAGGCACTTTCAATTGCCAGATATATGTAGTATGCCAGAGAAAGCAAGAAAGGGCAAGGTTATTAGACAAGACAGAACATAGGCAACAGCCTAGATTAGCTGCTTCTCTAATAGACTTCAGATCATTTTTATTCACGTAATGTTTTCTCTGATACTGAGAAATAGATAATTATTTTGTTAGGTGGCACATGTACAGATCCTCATGTGCTAGAACTTGTCTCTCGTTTAAAATGCTTGGCTAATGCGTCTCTTTTATGGAATTTGATCGTGTTGATTGCCAGTGAAAATAACCCTTTACCTTACCTTACCCTTAACTGAAATACATTTTTTCAAAAACTTGATTAAGTAGCAAGTATACTAATAATGTGGAAACATCTCCATGTATGTGTGAGAGGAAGGAGGTTACAAATGAGATTTTTCTGAAGTCCTAATTAATGCTTTTGGAGCTCCATAGTTGGAAGGGAAAAGTGAGCTAAGCAAAATTTCCAGAGGCAAAAAAGACCTGAGGTTGTAATATAGAAGTCTATTTTTATAGGAAAGAAAAAGCCTTTACAGATTTCATCAAGTTTTATAAATGCACTTAGCCTTCCTCAGCATTTGTGATCTATTGCTGTACGTGGAGAGGCAGAAAAAGATTTTCCAATAACTTTAATGTTACTAGCCCTGTTAGGATAATGCTAGCTCTACCTGCTTATGCCATCAGTAATGTTGCATCTTTTCTTCAGTCATTAAATCTATAAATAAAGGATTTTATTGTTAATGTTTTGTTCCAAGCAGCCATATCTAGTCTAGTTTGTTTTGTTAAGGCAAGATATTTTGGATCTATTACAAACACAAAAAATTAAACAATGGCTTTTATACATAAATTAACAGGGGTTCATTTCCCACTGATCATATCAAGGTAAATAAAGGTTAAATGGATTTAACAAATATCCATACTAATACCATAAATGTTCTCCTAGGGTCTCAAAACAATGTACACTTCTCAGCAGGTTCTGAGACGATGCAAAGTTTCTTTAAATTGGAAAAAAGCACATATACACTCACTTTTATAACTTGGTAAATGGAAACAAACTACCTAGTTAGAATGATCCAAATATTCAACCTAAGATATCACAACTCTGATTTTCAAAGACAAGAAACATTAAACATTCCCAGTCCCTTTTTGAAAATCAGATCCAAAAGGCTTTGAGAGACTCATCCCAGGCAAATCAGATTGGAATGACTGAATAAAATAATACTCCTCAGTATTTACCTACCACCACACAGCTGAGAGCTACTGTTCCCTTAGCTGAGATTTTAAATAATTAAAGAGGCCATGGTAAAATATTCACTGCAGAAATGACTTTACTGGTTTGAAAGGTTACTGCCCCTACAGCTGCTTGTTTTTTGCAGAAGGTTCCCACCCATGGAGCAGAGCTGGCAGGACAGCAGGTGAGAGCTCCCCTCGCCTCCGCCAGGGCAAAGACGGATAGGTCAACATCATTTCTGAAGATGACATGACAGAAGAAACTCTGCCCTGCCAATTTTTTGAAGCAAAATAGCAAAACACATCATTTAGGGTACAGCGACCAAAGAGCATTATTTTTAATATCAAGATAAAAAAATACTTCTGTGCTGGATGAGTCAAGCCTTTATGGCTTAACCCAGCTGAAATTAAAGCAGGCAGCAAGCTGCTATACTCTGTAACCTATGAAAACACAAAATCAATTTCACAAATTATTTCTTAGCATTCTAGTTATACCAAGCAGGAGATTGAGAGAAGCTTATTTTAATTAAAAACTTTATTTTTCATTACAATTCACAGTTTATACATGGCGAGAAGAATTGTCACCATGTGGACATTCAGAACACTGTGCTGGGGAGACAAGGGTCTTTATCTTTTATAAGAGCATTTGCTCCGTGCTGTTTTATGGAACTTTCTTCATGTTAAAAGCGTACTCTCTGTAAATGTTAATTGATTGATATTTACACTGAATTGACTGAATTTACATATTAACTTATATTTATTAGAAAACAAGCTAAGCATCCAAAAACATTAACATTCATATCTTGCATGTTGTCTAATGGTCAGAGATGCTGTAGATTTGCCACTTGAATCATGCCCAATCAGCAAAGTCTTATTCTTCTTTAATTTACACAGAGCCTAATTTATTCTTTAAGGCCTGTTCTATTCATTTTATGTACAGCCAGGTTACAATAGACTAACATAAGAAAAAAAAATGTAAAAAAGACAAAACTATCAATTCCATCCTGTGTTTCTTCTGAATCTCACATACACCTATAAGTAAAACAGAGGACATAAAATTATAGTTAATGTGTTTTCTTAAAACCAATAAAGAAAACCCATGATATAGTTTAGACCTGCTTATCATCAGCCTATCCTGTCTGAACAATCATCAGTATTCAGATTGTGCTATTTATCAGCTCTCCTCCATGCCTGCACTTGTATTCAGACACCTGTATGTTTGACATGTACAAAGTCACAGTGATACCAGTTTCAATTGCATTCCCACTTCAGCCACAGCTCCAGCATAGGCAGCCGCTGTGCAGCATGACATTCAGGAAAGCACTCCAGCAGGACTCCTGTGTAAAAGATCTTACGGCGTCTGGTGTGACTTGACTGAAAGAGGAAGTTAAGAATCCTTTTCGTGGAGCAAATGTCTGGCAGAAGGTTTATGCTCATTAAAAACTACCGTATTTTTCTGCATTGTTTTCTGAGTATGGCTATCAGAATGCACCAATTAAAACCCTCTCCTGCCTATCCTCATAATAGTAATTTTTATTTGCTCTTGTCATCTACCAAATAATTTAGTGATAGATAAGCTGCAGATTTTTTTTTTGGTACATCTGATGCAGAGAAAAAAACTGCCGAACACTGCTTGAAAAATACGACCTGAGTGGGTCTGCAAATTCTACAAGTCAGTGTGAACAAGTATCAGCTGGACCTGAGTAAAACAAATGCTTCTGAGGGATATTGTCACAACTTTTGAAACCGCAGTGCCTTTAAATTTAGAGCTAAGAACATTAATTTGATGACTGTTGAGTTTCGGCATTCATTCATGCTGGTTGGTATCTTCATTATAGACATCTTTAAAACGCTATCGTTTCAAGAAGAATGAAAGCTCAAATGAAATACATTACTCATGCAAACAAACAAACAAACAAAAACCGTATAGGAATTGTAGAGGTTCTGGTTCTTCAAAAGATAAGGCACTGACAAAAATTTCTTAGGTAAAAGGCTGCATAAGAATTTCTTGCCATTTACAAATGTGTTGTAGTCCATAAATGGTCCATTCCTAGGCTCAGTAATGTAGACCCTGAAATTTTAAGGACTGATCCCTCAAAGCTACATTGTTACCATAACAAGTGTGATTCATTCTTGAGGCCATATGGCACATTAGGAGAAATGAAAAACAGTCTGGGCAGATAAAGGCAGAAGACATTGCTTGTTCCAGCATCTTTCAATAACAGAAGTGCCATTCATCTTGTGTCTTTGAAGAGATGTGATGGTAACTCTGGACTGCAGTTTCTGTGGAACTCATGCACACATATAAAATGCTATGAGCATTGGTCATTGACAGGGTGGAGAAAAAAGGTATATGGCTAGTCTAAGCCAAAAGCTTCTCAAGGACTGGGATCCCAAGTCACAACTACTTAATATTTTCAATAACAGCTATCTCTTCTGCTGCACAGTGAGGCGTCAAACCATTCATATAAATGCTGTCCGTCTTTGTTAGAGCTGGCAAGATGTCCTTCTCACTGGTTAGATGGTTGACTGATAGGGTTCTCTTGCAAGGAGTCAGGTCTTGATTGTGGTTGACCGCCAGTTCTGCAGAGAGCTTTCTTTTGATAGAGGTAGCCCGCTGGAACTTGTCGTAGATCTCCACACTTAGACGTCTTCGTGTTTCTTTGAACTCTGCGGTGACGTTGGCTGTCCATTCCGCAGCATGGGCTCTGAATTCCCCTACCTGCAGCAAAAACGAGAAAAAAGAAACATAACATGCCTGAGGCCTTTAAAGGCTGTCGAGGCTCAAGAGCCCAGTGAGTAAGCAGTGTGGCTTCGGGCTGGCAAAGAGCTGCTGCTGCTGGCACAGATTTCTCATGCCTCAGACTCACTGTTTTATCAATAATAACCAAACCGGTGTCCAAGAGGAAGAAATGTAACACTAATAAGAGTTTACAATGATTCTAAAAACAAAAGGAAAATCTTCTCTGCTAAATTTTTTTTAGAATTAGAGGCAGTCAACAACACAGGGAAGTTCCAGTAAAGAACAGAGCCCTGACAGCTGCAAAGCACCCAGCTGGTCAGGGGATGCTGAAATCCCAGCAATCCAGGCTGTGTTACGTATTGTTACTAGGACGCAGCGTTATTTATGAGCACTTTTACTGTCTGTGCAAAGATCCCTAAGAGACTTGGCAGAGAATTTCTAAATTTAGATAGAAAAGCCTTTTTAAAGGAAAATGTCAGCTGCTTGTATTCTCTCTTTCTTGTGCTTTTCCAAACCTAGCATCAATGCAGTAACAGGTTCAGTTATGTCAGCAACGTGTCTGCTTGTCGCCCAGACTCCACTGAAGTGGCATATCAAAAAGCAACACGAACACAACAGCAGTGGGGGACTCCTAGCGCCGTTACCAATTATACTCAAAGGAAATGCAGCCTGCCAGTCCTAGCACAAGGCTGCCACACAATTGCCATACAGCTATAGGGTGGTTTTTCTCCTTTTACAGGCAGATCTCCAGTTAGATTGCCTGCAAGGTGCCAGCCTGCACTGTCACTACTATTTCGTAAGTGTATGTAAATCCCCTCTGTCCACTTAGTTCCTGTTCTCTAACTCTGCATGTCTTTGACAACAACCTGAAGGCAGACCCACCTCCATTTAGAGTAAAACTACCATAATTTTTAGCCATTAAGCTTTCTTTCCGCTGTTTCAGCATCAGCAAAGATGAAACATCCTATAAGCCCACCCTACGAGGGTAAGGAAGGCAGCTGCTGGCCCAGAATCCCAAATTATCCTTATTTTTGTGAGACAGTGTATGAGGGAGACTTGGCAGCTCACCCATATAACAGTCAGAGGTGAACTACAGACTTGTAATTTATGTGTTATTTATATATTTGCTCTTCTACTTTGAGCAGATAGACCACCAAATAAATTATTTTAGGTATATTAAAGGTGGGACCTTTGGAGGAGATGACCCTATTTTAAGTGCGAAGGAAATATTTTCAGATGGCTTTTCTTTAAATCTCTGCTTTGCAGGCAGCTTAACAGCTGAAAGGTATAGCAAGGGGAAGATAGACTGCTGATAAATGTAACTCCAAAGCGAAGCATTTCAGAAGAATTAACCCAATTAAATAAATTAGTCTAATTGGTACTGCTCAGTCCAGAATTTCAATCATTGGCAAGCAAGCTAAGAATCAGTGAGCACAGAAATCAAATAAAAATGAACACAAAGAAATATGGGGCCCAAGCATGAGAGAAAAGTAGCCACAGGCTTATTCATACTTTGCAGTGCAGTGGAAAACAGGAACATAATGAAGATAAAAAAATGATCAGCTTGCTGAGGAGTGTCAGGGTTTCAGGAAAACTTTCCCCCTCCCAGAAAGAAACCAAAAAGCTCTCTTTACCCAGAGGTCATTTTATTACATTTGTCTCAGCTTCACTGAATTATGCAGATGACTAATGTGGACCCATTACGTATATTTTCGAAAACAAGGATTATTTTCTGTAATACACAGAGGATTCGCCTAGCTGAACGATTATTAGTATTTAAATTGTACAATTAGGATCAGACATACTGCACTTGAGATCTGAAAATAATAAAATCTGTACTGCTGAAACATTTCAGCTGTTACAATATTTTTATTTGTAGTAAACAAGTAATAAAAATATGATAGGCAGTATCAAGGCATGCCCTGGGGCAGCTTTGTCCTGCTCCAAAGCTTTTCCAAAGGCAGGTGGCTCAGGTTCTGGGTCATACTACTGTCTAGGGGGGCAAAGAGACAGTGTAAGAGTTCCCATTTTGCCCCACACATTTGTACACCTCACGAGCTGTGTAACCTTTCACTAGCGCAGTTATTTCGCTTAGCAATGGCTTTGCATATAGTCACATTCAAGGGATGCTGTCAAATTTGTAGTTTTAAAATTATGCCTTGGCAGGTACAACTCAGGCTACTGAAAAATCACAACCATCTTGAACTTCTCCTCATATCGCTTTTAACCTTCCTTTTACTGGAAGTTTCAGTTCCCGTTTCTCTTGTGTTTTCTCACCTAAGAAAAAACACTTGGCCATGCTTCTGACAAAAGCAAGTATATATAAGCCTGATGACACGCTCCGAATTGCCTGGACAATCAGCCTCACTACATGTTGATGATGATGCTGTCTTGCACAGGGCAAGCTGCTATATTTTAACTCTTAGGCATGTAAGATATTCAGGAGGGTTTTTACTTTGTAGCTGTCATGATATCTGATTACCACATTTTAATTAGATTTCTTTTGGGAAGCAAGATGCAGCTAGCTGAAGATCATTAAATATGCCTTTTGGAGACAGGTTCGTGTTCTAATTACGATGATAAGGAACATGAAAGTGGTGGTCTTAATCCTGTCTGTCGGTGTATCAGAGCTAATATACAGCCTGGCACAATTTTAGTTTCATATTAAAACCAGAGGAAAAAAAATTGAAAAATGCAGTGCTATTGCTAGGCAAAATTGAAATGCATTAGTAGCTAAATAGGGGTAATTGGCACAGCATGAAAGCTGTAAGTTCAGTGCTGTGTGAACTATGCATGCCTCAAATTATTGCTTTCAGCCCCCCTAGCTCTTGTGTGAACTGAAATGCACTCAAAAATGTTATCTTTTCAGAATAAAATTCTTTTAATTCCATTGCACTTACAGACTCAAATACAAAAGGTTATAGAAAGAGAAATCTGCAGTTTTTAGCTGCCAGGGTACATAAGCAACCTGCTCTTGTAATTTGACCCCTCCTTTATCCATAGGGACATTTCAGTATATGCTCAGGCTCTGTCTGTCCCTAAGGTATGACATTTTTTCATACTGCACTATAGCTTCACTTATTTGGGGGCTGATAGCCACAAAACATCTTACACAAAGTGACTGAAATGCCAGTTGCCTATGCTGCTCAAAAAAAATCTGAAGATAGACACCTACCATAACATTTGTTTACTTTTCTCAAATTCTCTTGCCTCATTACAGCATACAGCTCTGTAAACGCTGTAGCTGCCATAACTGGGGGCAACGTGGTACAAGGACGAGGCCTCTTAGTCAGAGAAATGATTGACAACTAAGTACTCTACCTAAGGTTGAATGACACAAAATATTTCTGAAATAATAGGAAAAACATGCCACAGTGATAGCACAGGAGCCAGTCATATAATAAGTAGCATTAGTCTGGTGATGCTGCTCACTCCTACCCTGTGGGGAACAGGAATACCACAAGTCAGGGGGAGGCAGCCTCCTGTCCAGCTCCAGCTTTGATTTCCTCCATATCAAACAAAGTCTAAATTAGACTGCAATGTCTTTTGGCAGCTCCAGTGATTTCAGGGGCATATCAGCTCTAATATGTTAACATTATACTTTCTACATTAGCATCTAGTAACTTTATTAGATATCTGGATGGAATATCCTAATGCCTTGTGAGTCTGGGCAGGACAGGTGTCCTAGCTCCAGTCTGATCAGCGATCAAGGATGTAGGTTACAGAAACAGCAAAAAGTTGAGAACTTTCAAGAGACAGCAATAACAAAAGCATGTAAATATTACTTAAGTTTTTGTTCAGTTTAAGGCATGTTATCCTAGTTCTTTGAACTCTGTTGGCGTGTCTGTTTTCACAAAAAGCCATAGTTCTACAGATCCCTCCACGAAGATTTCAAAGACAAACTCTCAAGAAACATGCTCATGGCTTAGACAGCTCAATATCCTACATCACACACTTCACCAGGAAAGACTAGGTACTTTTCTCTCAGAGAAACACCATTGGTTCAGCTCGTTGCCTAGTGCATGCTGCCTGGGCCCCAGCTACCACTGCAGATGAGCAAGCCTTTCCCATATGTTCTGTGCTGTATCTGACAGTTCCATAGCGATGTCTCAAATACAGCAGGACTTCTCTAGTGGCATCTCTAAATGTCTCTATTTAGGCAACTCTGTCTACCTGTAGTAGAAATATCACATTTATTTTATTAGAACATGATGAGAAATAGCCTCTGAACCATTTTGAAATGTGTCTAACAATAACAATTAAAGTAACATTTGTTTTTTATTTTATATCATAAATAATGCATGAACTTCCTGAATAACCAAACCGTTGCCAGGCTGTGCATATACCTATCAATATCACTTAAAGATAGACATGCAGAATTTAACAGGACTAAGAAAATACATGGACATTAAGCACCCATTTCCTTCACCTGTTTCTGCCAAAAAGCATCTGAATTAATATCTACCTAAAACTGGTATGGGAGAAGTTTCTCTCAACCAGTATCACCAGTGAGACCAAAACCCTCTCCATCAATTTTCAGCACCAGCACATTTTAGCTTTCTCACTGTCTAGCTAAGAACAGCACTTGAATAGAGGCCAATTGCCTAATCCAGAATGCAAGCAAGTCCAAGGGGAAGCTACTGTTAAGAGAAACAAGTATCTAGAGATACTACCTCTCTGCATCTGCTTCATTCTTGAGAACATTTGCTCTAATTCCTCATACTTATGAGGAGTTTGAGGGCCTTTCCAGACACTCCTCTCACAACAGATATCCAAGTAACTGTACCAAAAAAGCGTCCATCGTGGAAGAAGACCATTCATTCTGCTAAGTACTCTCTGAAAAGCACGAGCCATGTCGCAGTAATATTTACATATGATTAATCAGTGCTGGGAATTAAATCACAGCCGCTAGAATACACTTATCCATCTGCTTAGCAGCACAGGTTATTGTGAGCACTGGGCCAGGATGTTCTCCTCTT